CAATAGTAAACAAAGTCCTGCGGAACTTCTGCAGATTTGGTTTGTCCTGCGGAAGTTCCGGTGAATTGTCTGAACTCTTGTTTTTTGTGTGCAATTATTTTTCAATGAAGCTTCATGTTTCATTTATTGTAAGTTTGTATATCACGCTACAGTACCTCGCTGATTGGGCATCTCAGCGTCAGAAAGAAGGCAAAGATCCATCTTCGTTAGGCCACGATTTGGATCTCGCAATACGACCACAGATAGCTCATTTGACACAAGACAGTGAGTTCAGTATGTATTGCACACTTACTACTTCGAATTGTGCTCATCATTAAAGTATCCCAGGTCGATGGCCCTTGCCTTATGCTCTTGGCAACATAGTGCGACAGTTGAAAAAAGAAATAATTAAGATTGGCACACCTGATAGGAACGGTCGCAAACAAGTGAGGAGCTTCTTTGTCGCATCTCGACGTTTAGTTCTGATTTTTTGTTTTTTTTTAGACTATTGAAGATGTCCAGAAATGGCTTGACGATTGTGCCGAAGAAAACTTTGGCATTGCTTTCCGTGCCATTTCTGAGTATCTCATGGGTAAAATGAAATCTGCACGCAATGTAGTTACCTACGATTGGTGTCCTCTCGTTAGCAAATTGTTGTTGGGTTCTATAGATAAAGGATTCCAACCCGTATTCACTGTGGTTGATGCAGAAATGGAAGGCAGAGGTTGGTTTGCGGATTTGAGATTAGTTAACCAATTTGGTATGTGTGCTCCAGGACTGCGACACATCAAAAAATTCACTGAGCGTGGAATCCGCTGTCGATATACGGACTTGAACTCAGTTGGAGCTGTTATGGAAAATGTGAGTTTGATACGAGGATAAAAAATCTCACAGTCTTTGTTGCTTTTTTTCTGCTTCGTCATTTATTTTCTCATTTCTCCGCTTAGTATCTCGCATCTTGAGCCTTCATTCTCCGATATTGTCTCACAGTTCGTAAAAAAAAGTTCTTGCAATAACTATATTATGAAGCTGCAAAATGGACCCTTCTCAGATTTGGGCGGAGTTAGGTAGTAAACCTCCCAAGTACACCGTAGCTCAAGCCCCAACTGCCAGTTCATGCGCTAAGTCTCAAAAAATGCGCTTCGAAACTCCACCAATGACCCC